GAGCAGGGGTGAAATCCAGCAGGTTCTGACAGGTTCTGGAGAACCGGTAGCGCCGGTAGCGGAAATTTTGAGCAGTTTGGAGAACCGATAGCGGAAATTTTGAGTAGTTCGGAGAACTGGCAAATACCACCTCTGACTGGTCCCAGAGTGGGGTGGGAATGGAGATTTTGCAATATCCTTCCCCCAGGAGTGGGGAGGGAATGGAGATTTTGCAGTATCCTTCTCCAAGCCATGCCCACCAAGCCACACCACGCCCATCAAGCCACGCCCACAGAACCGGTAGTAAAAAAAAAAATTGGATTTCACCACTGGTTCAGAGATCATCTTTTCAAGATCTGCCTCCAAATCACTATAGCAGAAATATACTGGGACTTCTGATTTCAAAATAAAAATATAGAATCCCATGCCCCCACCCCATCACACTGAAAAATAGAATGCCATTAGAATCACAACACTGTACCTACACTTTTTTGTTCAATGCAATTTTAGTGACATTCTATTAAAGGGTATATTCCTCTCCACAGTAAAATTTAAAGGCTAAGTGATCCTGTGCAAGCTTCCTTAAAAAGTGACTATTTTTGAATTCTGTGGGGCTGTAATCCTGTGGCCCTGCTATACCAACTGAAGCACTTTAGGATCAAAAGATAATCTCCTCTTCTCAGAGGTTTTAGAGGCATGCTGCTGTCACTCTCAAATGGGGTCATGAGAATATGCAGAGAACCAAAATAGGGTGATTCTGTCCTTCTATATTCTACTGTAAATTTGCTCAGTCCCATTTTATTAAACGCTGAAAAAAGAGGGTCCACGTTTAATTCCATGAATGACTCTCTGATTTATGAAACTCACAAAGCAAAATGGAGGGAAAGACTTCATCTTGTGGTTATTATAAACATCTTCTAGGTCTCTCTGTCTCAGTCTCAGTCTCTGTCTCTGTCTCTATTTCAACATGGATCTCCAAAGCAGAGCAGCAATGAGGGAAAAACAGTAAACATATTGGAGGGAAAATATATACAGTATATAAATGGTCCCATAAATGTTCACTTACTAGCCCCATATCACCTGTTGAGATCTGATCGTAGAGGTGATCTTTTGCACCTGTCCTCTTGTCAGAGGAGCATAACATGCTGCCTTATCAGACACATCAGACTTGTGGTCCATAAGACAAGGATTTTGTACAGACAGTGGTAATGCCCACTATTTTGAAGCCTTTTGACAAATCTTGTAGCCAACTTTAGCAGGACTTTTTTTTCCCCAATCAATTCATTCATGATACAAATCGCTATCTTTTTTTCTAACACAATTTTTTGCTGTCTCTCTTGTTTTTATTATTCTTTGCTGCTTGATGTTCCTGCTGCTACTGAAATATGTATCTGTTCCCATATAATGGTACTATAGCATTTACTAGTGGAAGTGTATTCTAAACTACTGAGTTAGTTTCTCAAGATGTTCAAAATTTTATGTGCAAAAAAGAATTTTTTTTAAAGAAAAAGAATATAATTTCTCTCTTCTAGCAAAGAGCTTGTGCTCTTGCTATAAATATAAATCAAAACACAAAATGATGGCTTAAACTTCTATGTTTCTTAGAATTTCAACAATATAAACTGAAGAAAGCCACTTGCTCACGTTAGAAACATAGTGGATATTGCACCATATTCTTTAACAGGTGATCACAAAATAACAAAATGTACTAGCACTATAGTGTCTTGGAAACAAACAAGAGTTCCTAGGCAAAATCTAACCAAAATACATTCAATCACAGCCTCAATCTCATAAGCTTCTGAAGCTGTTTGATTCTCAATTCAATATTGCTGAAGAGCAAAGTAGAGAAAACACTGATATTTCTTTCATTTGACAGTACACTTTCAGAGATACAGGAAGCTTTGATGGAGAATCAAGTCCATAACCCATCTGCCTTTCTTTTAAAATTATTCTCTTTACTGATAGCAATGAAAAAATGTTTTTCCTCTTCTACAGTTCTAAACCTATGTATTGGTCGTGATAAATGTAAAGAACATGGAGGCTATGGAATTTTTCAGAACTTTTTCTTTTGCTGGTATAATTTAGATTCAGCATCCTGTTATTTATTTTCTTAATATTAATGTCAAATAGATTACATGATTCTTCTGGTTCCATTGGTCCTATACGGCATGCTGTATATTATTCATTATATTGCTAGCATATTTTCAGAACTTTACCTTTACTTCTGCTTTATATGGACAGTAATTTGAACAGCCGATATTATATTTAGTTTGCTATGGTTTTATTGTGCAGTCGAGCTACAGTGCTGTAATTACAGCTGAACAGTTTCTTTTCTATGGATCAGTTTAAGTACCGTGTATTTGTGAAAAATGTGTCTATAAATAAACTGGCTCTGCCTGTGACTGCAAGATGCTGACACTGTTGGGAAAAGGCTCTGCTGCTTGCTTTGGGTGACGTTGTTGCATCAGGGTGCTAGCCAACAGCCCACGATGCAACTCTTTTGTGGTATTGAGATTCACTACTTCTCAAGAAATGAGACCTTTTGCATTGACTAGAGCAGTGTTTCCCAACCTTGGTCACTTGAGGATGGCTGGGAGTAAAGGCCACACATCTTCAAACAGCCATGGTTGGGAAATACTGCACAAGAAGGATAGCACAGAAACCAGAGGAAAACCCATAGCATCATCTTCCAACTCCTCTCTGATTACTAAAGAGGTCCTGTCTTTAAGGGAAGTGTGCTTTACTGTTTCAGCCTGCTGAAGCAGGGCATGCAGATCAACAGGTCCCAGCTCAAATAAGTACCAATTTCCTACCCAGAAGTTTCCTGGAATAGGTAGGTTCCACTCCCATGATGGATCACTGAGTATATTTAATTTGCTCCAGAGTAGAAAAAAAATGCATTATAGAAACAAGTGTATTCCATTGACAGACATCTATTTCCAGTGTACGTAAGCAAGTCACAACCCCCCTAAAATTCCCCGAGTGCTACTGAAGTAGACATATTAGCAAAAGAGTCTTTCTTGAGATTTGGAAAAATGTGATGACTTGAGGCTCTGAAGTAATGTTGTAATTTAGTAATTAGCTTACAAGTCCTTCTGGGGTTCAATTCCATCTTCGGCTATAAATCATAAAACATAACGAGTGGCTGCAGATGATCGATGTTACCCCTTGTGCTTTACTTTGCAATATATAGCTAACGTTGGTACACCCCAAGGATTTTCTGCAAGCAAGCCTATAACCCCAGTTTCAATCTTTATTTTCCCTGTTTTCTGAACACAAAGCAGCTGCTAGGCCCCAGCCCTATAAGAACACTCAGTACAGCAGTCTCAGCCTGTGCCTGTTGTGTCAGTACAATGACTCATTTGGACTATGTAATAATAGGAAATATGTGCATTCACATAAAAGGTATGGGGACAACTCAGTGATGTATATGAATATTAAAGAAGTGTCGGAAGAAATATCCATCTGGTTCAGTTCTAAGCCGGGAGAAAGACACCGGAAACATGGAGGCTAATTGGAAAGATGGTTTAATGATGAACAGAACCACGTGGGTTCTGATGCAGCTGAACACATGGGGTTGAGAGTGGGGGGGGGATTTATACCTTCTCTTGGGCTTTGCACTTGAGCTTCCTGTTCAAGAACATGTATTCTATTGGCTGTTGTAGGGGTCATAGGTTGTCTGTAGGTTGTCTGAGCTACGTTTGGTTGAAGTTTGGAGGGTGATGCAATGAAGGGGCTTGTTGGGCAATTCCTATTGTGGCTGAGGGCTAACCCTACCTTTGTTCAGATCTTACTGCAGGGAATTTATTTATTAATAGAGCTAGCTATCTCTTTATCTCTTAAGTGCTGACATCTGCTGAGGGCTATTAAGAAAGGTGGGGGCTATTAAGAGTGAGTCTGCTTCCTGCCTCTAAAAAACATGTTTCCAGGGAAATATAATATACTGCGTTTTTAATATTTCTCAAAATATTTCATTGTTCTAGGAGAGAAGTGGATACTAACTTTCTACAGAAGTAACTTGAAATGTAAAACAAACAAACAAACAAACAAACGTATCAGTAAACTTGGGTGAAGCTTCCAAAGCCCTTCCAAAACACTTGGCAGTAAATTGTATTTTTAATGTCACAAGAGAATTAAATGCATGACAAGTATGTGATATTCATAGCAACTACATTTAAATAATGTAACTGCAATTGGATTAAAATTGCCGTAAATCCATGTTACTTTTTTGCACTCATATTTTGGAAGGTAGTCCTAGCGTACTCTTCAAAGGCCTAATAAGTTCTCTGTAAAAATGGCTTGACTCAGCTTTCCAATAAACCTCACCAGGCATGATGTTGGGTGTTATACAAGGAAATGCATTGTTAATGGAGCCTGGCTTTCGATAGCTCCTACCTGCCCATCTCAGAAGGCTGACTTCATCAGGATTATGCCATGAAGTTGGTGCACAGTACAGCACAGTGTTATCACGCTCCTCCCAAAAAGTTATTTTGCAAAAAAAAAAAAAAAAACCAAACACCCCATACACCTCTAATATTCCATCTGTTGTTATTGTGGCTGAAGTGTTTAATGAAAAGTCATGATGCAAACCAGCCAAACTATTTTTGACAGCAAAGAGGCAGCGTACAGCCAGGTCACCAAAAACCTGTGCATAAATACACACTACAGCTCTGGGATCTAAGTCCATTATGGTGGTGGGATTTAATAGTATAAATGCCATGAAATTTATAATATTATAAACAACGTCTCCAGTCCCGTTTTACAACTCCTAAACTGAAAAGATTTGCATCGTTCCAGCTTCCATTACTGAAAATGGCTTATTATCGGGAAGAAATATCTTTTATTCCTAAACCAAAAAAACAAAAAAAAAGATAATTATGCACAGGACCATCAACAATCTTGAAAAAGGCGGTAGGCGGGGCTTAAAAGTTTCCGGGTGGCATTGTTGGACGCTGGCCCCGCCTTTCCTGGGCGGGATTTTGTCAGTTTCGTCTTTCGTAACTTTCCTACTTGGAACTCAACTGAGATGCTCAACTTGCGAGGAGCCGCGGAGCACCGAGCGCTCTCGGTTCCCTCCTCAGTCGACGGGATCCTACGGCGGACTGGGGCGCAACCCCTCCTCCTTTGCAACCCCGCAGTGCCCCTGGCCCGGGGAATAGCCAAGCGGGCTCTGGTGGAGTTTTGATTCCATCACCAGGAAGGCTCCAGAACCGGAGCAGAGGGCTCCAAAGGACCGGAGGAAAGAACCAGGAGGGAGCGCGTAAGAAAGAAAGAAAGAAAAAAAAAAAAACCCGGACGTTTCCATCCCTCGGATCCCACCGTCGGCCGGAGCAGATTTGCAAGTAAGTCCCCGGGGCAGCGTTTGCTTGGTGCAGTCTGGAGCTGGGAACGAGGAGCGGGGCTGGAGCTTTTCGGCGATTGAGCGCGGCTGCTGACCGGCGCGTCTGCCTTGAGCCCGGGCCGGGAAGGAATTCTTCCTCGGAGCGTCGGGTTGCTGCCTGACGCGCGGTGCGCTTTGGAGAGCAGCCTCTCTCCAAAGCGCACCTCTCTTTGGCGAAGATGGGGAGGCACGGGGCTTCGCCGCGGCCGTTCCATGTGTGATGTATGGCGGCGTGCGTTTGTCATTCTCTCCGCCCGGGCTAAGATTGCCCCGAACCTTTACTTTGGGAAAGTAACTCTTGAGCTCAACCCTGTGAAGAGAAATCTAAAAACAGAAGTCCCTCCCTCCCGCTTTTTATTTATTATTCCCCCCCCACTCTCTCCTATGCGCTTCTGCCGCTACTACTAAGGGGGTCCACCGTGAGCTGGTAAACGGGACGGGCAATCGGGCGCGGGGTTCTGACGGGGCGACCACCGGGGCTCCTAAAGGCTAATTGGATGGTGGTGGCCGGGATTTTAAGAAAAACCGGTCCTGGATCGGACCTCGCGAAAGTTGATCTGCGGCCAAAACGGCGTTTGCAGAACCCGGCAGCTCTCCTGCTAGGCGCGCGCACCCGACGTTGCGCGCAGCAATTGGGGAAGAGGGGAGTGAGCCCCTTCTATAGTCCGCAGCGCCACGGCACCCCCTCTTTGCTCGGGCTGAGAGGTGCTGCTGGATGGGAGGGAAGCGGGAAGAGGAGAGGGGTCTGGAGCCCCCTCCTCATCTCCTCCTCCTCTTCCTCCTCCTCTGGAGAGCCTCAGATCGAGGCGCCCCTCTCCGCTGTAGGAAGAAAGGGGTTGGGGCAGCTGAGTTGCGAGTCGGTCTGCTGCTCCCCCGGTATCGCGCTGTACCCCTTGCGGGGCGGGGATCTTCTCTCACATCTACACCGTCCCGTCCCGTCCGCCATCCCTTTTGTGCCTTCTTCTCCAGCCGTCCGCCGTCGATTCCCGTGGAGTCAGAGCGCACGCATCTTCCCTAAGGAGCGGGGCGAAAAGGCCCTTGCTGAGCCGGAGCAGCGTCCAGGGGGAGGTGAGGGAAGGCTGGCTGCTGAGGATGGGACGATCCACTCACGGATCGACCGGAGTCGGTGCCCCCCCACCCCCACCCCACCCAACTGGCATTAGCAAGTGTGACTTCTCACCACCATCCGCTCTCTCTCGCCTCCCCCTTTCCGTCGAAGCACCTGCTATTTTGATTTCCTTTCAACTCGCACTCTCGCGCTCATTTCCATGACAACAAGGAATGTCACAACTAAAGATTCCGTCTTAATTGGGGGTGGGGGATGGGGAAGAGAAGACCTGATCCGAATCAAAGTTTGAAGCCTGGGGTGAGGGGTTCAGAGCTCTATCGCAGTTGGATCTTATATAGCGGGCAGGGGGGGGAGAGAATCTAAACTTAGCCTGGGCTGGACAGTCGTCTGGATGTGGGTCTCGATCTGCGCTTTCTCCCCCTCCCTAATCCCGATCCCCGAGACACCCGCGAATGGAGCCGAGTGTCATCAACTTGGCTGCAGTGGCTAAAGTGGGCCCGCAGGGTTGCTTTAACATGGGAAGTTAACAGCAGAAGAGGAAGGCCACGAGGATGGTTAATAAGTGCGTGCATGTCCGGAAGCTTAAATCATCTGGTGAACTAAGAAGGGACGGTTGCTGAGAACGAGAGATAAAGATCTCAATTCCATCTGATCCCGATAGATCTGGTCACATCTGCATAGGGCTGCATCGTACCTTCGCTGGGTGAAGGAGGTCCTTAACTACACAGGGCTTTTCTGACAACCGTCTTGACACAGGGACAAAAGCAGTGACCTAAAAATTAAAAAAAAATGTTAAATGCCTTTGATTGACATCATTGGGATCATCTACCTATTTGATCATCATAAATGTGGTGGCAAATCTACAGCAAGTGTTCACAGTTTTAAAACAAATCTCAAACCACTGCTTGCCTATGCAGATGAATTAAATGACAGATTTGCACAAACCAGTGGGCAAAAAAGTGTTCATAGAGGCTTGCCTGTGGACAGTATTTTTTTTTTCAGTATACATTGGTGCATGTCGGAATCGTATTCTTCATTCAATGTATATGCTTCGGTACTTATTTAATGCCATGAGATATTGGAAGGAAAGCATATAGATTAATGGTATGTGAAAAAAGGAGCAGAATATGAAATCAAATTCCAAAATCATTCCCTTCCATATGGAAACCAGATGATTTCAAATAGCAAATTCCTGACTGTTCTCAAGTCATGAAATATTAGTGCCTATTGACTTAAATGGGGGGGGAATCCAGAGGAGTCCGAATCTTCCAATCTGTCCAGCAACCTTTGGCCTGCTAAATGATGGAGTACAAATTCCATCGTTCCCAGCTTTGGATACAAAATCAACCCATATTGTAAACAGATGTACAAGAATTCTCTTTGGGCTCAACCATGTGGTCTCTGTCTCCTCAAAACTGACAGTGACAAGTGCTGTTCTAATAAAAAGAGCTGTGAACCATATATTTTAAAAAGGACGGGGCATCGTTATCTGCAGTGTTAATATTGGATTAAGAAGTTAAACATACTGTAAACATGTATTTATAAATTATCAAAACATAAAAATATCAAAAAAGAATTAGCCAGACACAATTGAAAAGACCTTTTTTTTTCATTCCTGATTTTGTGGTGCTCTAGAATCAAAATATTCTCTTTTTAAAATACAGGCATACGTCGGAGATATTGCGGGTTCAGTTCACGGCCGTTGCAATAAAGCGAATATTGCAAACCACACACATTTTTATTTTAATTTGTGGTGCATATCAGAGTTATGTTTACCCTGTACTGTAGTCTATTAAGTGTGCAATATCATTATCTTTAAAAATCAATGTACATGCCTTCATTAAAAAATATTTTATTACTAAAAATGCCAATCATCATCTGAGCCTTCAATGACTTATAAATTTTTTGCTAGTGGAGGGTCTTGTAAACAAATTGCAGTCATCTGTGAAGCACAGTAAAATGAAGCACAATAATAACAAGGTATGCCTGTATAAATAAATGTGCCCTTAATTGGAAGTCCATTTATTACAATTTAATCTCACGGTGAAAATATATATGCCTCTTCAAATTTTAATTCAAGAGTAAGGTATTCATTGACCATCATACAGCCTTCAACAAACTTTTGAGGGCATTACATCCCTGTCAAATTCTTTTTCTAGTTGAAAGTTGTGGTTGTTTTTGCTTACTAAGATAAGGTTGGAAAAAACAAAGTTGTAAGGAGACCCCACAAAGCCTTATGCATCCATTTCACTCATTATAGTCTACCATAAATCCTGGGAAAGGACCCAAAATGTTCAGTCTCACCAATTCTAATGATTTAATTTTTACCTGTGTTTCCTGTGGGCTCTTGACTGTCACAAAATGTAAATGTAATCAAAATTTTGCCCATTCCAACTGTAGTTGATTGATCTGATCATATAGCATGTGACCTATCCTGCCTCAGGTTCCCATGGGTTGACAATTCCACAGATCTAGACTCCATTATGATACCTGGGGAGACTGTGTTCCATTTGTAGGGTCAGGGGCTGATGAAATATTGGGTTTTTTCTTCCCTAGAGACTCTAACCCATATGATTACCAGCCCAACTTACTACTGTAACAGATCGTGTACTATATAAATAAAATATTAACACTCATCTCCTTAATATGAATTAATTCTCTTATGCTCAGCTCCATGACCTTTTTATTGATTTCCTTGCTTTATCATCCTAGCGTATGAATGGAGTGGATTTCCAATCTATGTCAGTTTCACATGTTTGCAGTGAGAATCCTATCTTCTTTCCGTATGAGAGTGCAATTTAAGAAATGTAATGAATTGCCTATTAAGTGCTGAGCTTAGAGGCCCCCAGACAGTCAAACAATAATGTAAGCTATGCTTTTCAGAAACATAAAACAACTGTTTAAGAGGTCATATGTTTATGTATAATTAAAAGCCAGTAGGGCTTTTCTTCCAGATAAAGTGATATTAGGCCTACAATCTCCAAATACTAATCTGATACTGTAAACATCTCCTCCCAGAGTATGTGGATATTGCTCCACAATTAGAACTCACCCCAAAGGCTTCCCCACCATACACCCACTATATGCATAGATGCTCCTTCAGTAGGTTTGCAATGATGGAAAGCTGATACAAGAACCAGCTGTCCCTTTGAACAGTTTCTTCCCTCTTTCATCCTGAAAGAAAAGACCATCTATATTCTACTGTGGGTAAATAAAGAATAGATGCAAATTGCCCATGAAAAACAAATGAGGCAAATAAAAATAAAATAAATGAAGACTTGTCATGAATTCAGTACAGTATGTTAGGGGTGGCTCTTTTTAAACAAAGTCACATCATTTAATGCACAAATGCATACATAAAACTCGGTAAAGATCGGTGTTTTCCTTTGGACTCTTTCAATGAACAACTTTGGTTTGCCAGAACTAAAATTCCACAAAGTCCCTTCCAAGATGCATGGAAAATTATAATTAATTGCATATGGTAAAAGAAATAATGTAATCTCTCAGAATTTCCACACACTTTCTAGACAAGCTCCTTGAAGCAGAGTAGAAAGATGTATTGTTTTTATAGAACAAAAACTATTATAGCAGAATGGATATTATAGTAGAATGTTTTATTATTTCTCTAGCAGTTTCAGGTGGGTCTCTTTACTCCTTTCACTCTTCCCTGCCATATCCTTGTGTGCTAGATTGGGATGTGAGAGACCATAAATGATCCTTACGTCTCCCAGTGGAGTTTCTATGGCTGAAAGTGGACTTGAATCTGTCTCTAGTCTTAACCACTACTCTTAGTCTAACACTAAGTTGCTACTCTACTCAATGAGTCTCAACTGTGGCAACTTTAAAGTGCATGGACTTCAATACTTAGAATTCCCCAGTCAAGACTGCTGGAAAATTCTGGAAACAGAAGTCCATTCATTGAACTGTAACATTCTGTTAGTGAAATTACATATGGTATCCTCAGACTGAGTCATCTCAACTAATGAAGCCAAAGAACTTGATGCTGAAGACTTAGCAGTAACTTTGGGGCCCAGACTTGGATTCATCACTGATCTTTTAAAGCTAGATAAGATTTTTTTATCAATTTGCAATAATTGCCACATAACATTTCACGAGAACAAACAAATGATTTCATCAGATCTGCCTCAATTTTGTTCAACTACCCATTCTTTTATATTCATAACCTGGAGCTTTTCAGTAAATTTCATTTTCTCCACATCTTGTCTATTTCCAATCAATGTCAGATTTGATTTTTTCGCCCCAGTTGTCTCATGTTTTCAATCTCGGGGGGGGGATCCAGATAAATATTAACATTTAATCTGAACACCCTCCCTCCCTCCCACTCATATATATATATATATAAAACCATTTGGTATAAAATGGTTTGTCATGAATGCGACTGCTTAAGAGCTCTTGGATTGGAGCTGAAAGGCGAAAGGGAAGCAATATGCTCTCTCCCATATTGGGGTAGACTAGGTGCTTCGACAGAAAAGCATTATATATATATATATATATACTGTGTATGTCTTTGGTTATTCGGGTCTTCTCCCACGTAAAATTGGAAGTGTCTTGGCGATGTTCGACGAAGTCTCATTCGTCATCTTCAGGCTGGTGTTTCGGCTTCCAGGAAGCACGAAGCACGAAGCATGAAGCCGAGAACACCAGCCTGAAGATGACGAATGAGACTTCGTCGAAACGTCGCCAAGACACTTCCAATTTTACGTGGGAGAAGACCCGAATAACCAAAGATCTACATACAAACACCCGCGAAAACCTGAGAAAACATATATATACTGTATATATATATATATATATATATATATATATATATATATATATATATATATATATATATATATATATACACTGTATATATATATATATATATATATATATATATATATTATATATATATATATATATATATATATATACTGTATACATATATATATATAGCATGTGTGTGTTTGTGTTCATTTTTTAGTATAATTACTTTTTAAAGGTGAGAACATTGTAGAAACAATCAGAAAAGTACACTGTCCAATAGTAACACTGTTCTAATTTGTATATTCATAAGATTGCAAATTAAATTAAAAATGTGGAGTGAATTAAAACTTTGTGCATCTATAATTGTCGGTCGTTGAACTGTGCACAGGTAGATGGTTGATGTTGTTGCATATTAACTAAAGCCATCTTAGATTAAAGGAGGTTTTTTTTTAACTTTTGAAAACCATGGAACAGCAAACAATTATTAAAATGAGAAAGAACTTTACAGTAGCTGTTTCTTTTAAAAAAAGAATATTAAATAAAACACATTTTAATGATACTGGTTATTTTCCTTTGCATACTACATTCATTATATATCTTAAAGTAATGTATGAGGTTGCTTATGACTGCATTTTTCATCAGTCCAAAATGATTTTTTTTAAAAAAAAACTCATATGCTTAGTTCAAGTCTATATTGATACTTGCATTTGGTTAAGAATGCTGAAAATTTGCTTTCACAAAAATACATTGAAGAAAAAAAATAGAAAACATTTCATTGCTTTTCACCTATAAACTCATACTCCCTGGGAATTTTTCCATCAAGAAGTCATAATTTTTCTGACAATATGACATATGAGAAGTGATCTGCCAACATTTCATCATTTATAGCTAGAGGCATTTGTTTTGCTAGAGAAATTAAATGGATCCAAAACCAGCATGAAAAAAAACCCCTTCTGATGGATATAGAGACCAATGCATGGAACACCTTCAAGCTTGGGGCAATGCATGCAACATAGTTTAAGATCCACTGATTTTAAAGCGGACTTTGTAAATCCAGGAATTTCCTACTGCAGAAGTAATAGAACATGCTGCTTCCTCTCTTATCAAGTTAAAAGTCCACATTTTTAATTCCACTTTACAAAGGTTGTTTTATTTTTATACAGTGCTGGGGTATTTTTCCCCAGGGCCCAAGAAAAATACTGCACGTTCTTAATGCATCCAGAGATATTCTTCTTGCGCTGCAGCTTAGAAACAGATTCATGCTAGAGATTTTAAAAATAATTGCTTTCAGGCTTTTGGAAATGATCTGAAGTAGCAAGCAGTATTAATGTCTCTTCTGGCAGCAAACAGGTTTTGTAAGTTCTTGCTTTGACTAAGTAGGAAAGTGACTAGATAAAGCATACATATGCTGTAGTTTCTGCGGTTAAAATCCTCAAACCTCTAAAAGGCACCAGATTGGCAAAAGAGAGTAGAGAACATAGCTAGAATAATGCTTCTCTGGAACTATCCTATTTTGAAAGATGTTTTTCCTGCCTCTATCAGTGATGGACCAGAAAATTTGGTTGCTTGGGAACAGTGCTGGAATTCTCATTGTTACCAGACTTTTTCTGATTTTTTTTTTCTGCTGCCATAGACTAGCATAGCTCACCTCCTACAATTGTTAGATGGGTGCATTTTGTTCAAATAGATGCCAGCATTTCAGCTTTTTAGGAAAACATGCCGTGTCTGTTCCTCTCATAACAATTTGGGGTGAAGTTTAAGAGATGGGCTGTATTGACTGAGCCAGGCAACAAAGAAAGTCTTGTTTAATAGTCTCATCTATTGATTATGAAGCTGTATCTCATTATTGTACAGCATTTGCTTTTTCTACACATTGACTCCAATTCTGACCATTCTTACTTCAGTTGTCACTTATCTTGCTTTAGTTTCGCTTTGCTCTTCCATGTTCGCACATCCATCTTTAGGAAAGTATTGTTTTTACTGTACAATTAAAAAAAACAATTTAATAACTGGACTTACGCTGTAGCAAAGTTCCTATTCAGAGCCAATCTTACTCTGAGGCAGGGTAACACAGATTTGGGGTTTACTATTAAATAGTAATCATTTTATTGATCAGATTTTTTTTTCTACAATGAGAATGACATTTCTAATAAACAGCCAAATATATTTTATTTAGGACTATTTATACCAACCAGTTCAGCGGAAGCTTAATAAAATTCTAGAATCTTTTTACCACAGTATGATGTAATTGCAAATACTGTAATGTTATAAATCTTTGCATTTCATCCAGAAGCTGCTGAAGGATCTTCATGAGTTGTTCATTAGCTACAAAGCAAGGTTCATGAACTTGCCCGTGACATATACAACCTGAAAGATTTCAAAATGGTATGCAGTGAATGAAAGGCATATTTTGTTTCAAAATTCTAGTGAGGACAACCCTATTAATTTGTTAACACAAAATCAGATTTGTCTTTCCTGATATCTTTACCCAACAGAAAAACAAGTTGTTGTTTGCCCCCCAATTATTACTGTACAGCCGTGTTACCATCATTAAGAATAGAAATCCCATTGAAAATAAGCAGATGGAGGGCATTGCAAATTGCTATAGATATCCCTGCAAAAAGCTCTGAATGCCTTTAAAGATACCATTGCTTCCAAGAAGTTGGTTGCCCAGAGAACTTAATCCTTTTTGTGACACCTGAACATGGCTTCCCAGTTTCTTTCCAGTCCAGTTACCTTGTAATATATAGATGAGGGAAATGAGAGTGAGGGGAGGGAGAGGGATGCTGCCTAGGAAACAGCCAGACAAGATAGGCAGAATGGTCAGAGAAAGGACCATTAAGCCATTGGGGCTTCTGACTCTCGTCTGATTGATTCCTAGGCAGCCTCTCTCCCTCTGCTTTCCCCAAAGTCATCCCCACATTCCATTACACCTTTTCTCTTTACCTCACCTCTGCCCAGTTTTATCTCCTCCTTTCTTTTTCTTCCCCTCCACATTCCACCAATGTTGCTACTTCTTTCTCCTTTTTTCAACTCCATCCTGTTTTTGTTCTTTTCCTTTGCTGCTAAAAGAGAGAGGGGAAATTGTACATAATTATAAACTTCTGTGTAAGGAAGTGTGGGAGAAATCAGAAGCAGATGGGGCTCAATTAATTTTATAAATAGGCTATCTTATTAGTAATATCTATGGGTGTGTAATTGTCTGGGTCTCACCCCTTTTTGTGTGGTTTCTGATTGTACATGCATGCACACTATAAGTGTGTGCATATGTAGAAGTGCATTCGGTATATATTTTTACTGGGTAAGAGAAATCTCCACGGCTGGATTTGCTTGAAATGGAAGTTGGAGTTGATAAGCTAGGTGGACAGCTTGGGACAGATAAACATTATATAGGATTTTTCATTTGCTCTTGTAATTTTTTTCCTTCCTTGGGAGAAGATCCTGTTAAATACCTGGTACTCAGGACAAAAATAATTCACTGTAATTCACACAATACTTCATTTTGATTCAGAGCCAATTGGCGTAATGATTAAGACACCAGGCTGAAAACAGAGAGAATGTTAATCCATTAATCAAACTTCAGATGCAACAAATAGAATTTTTTTGAGACTGCACTTCTGTTGTTTCTGAAGCAGTCCAGACAATTAATGTAATTTATGTCATTTGCATAATTATGCAATTGATGTTTTTAAATCCTTTGCACCAGTATAGTCTTTTGTACCATATTTGGATTTAACGGAGAGCCCTTAACTCCCAAATAATCTATTAAATCAAGATTCTACCATAATTATAATTGCCACCATGGATTTCTTAAAGGAAATGAGGAAGACAAATGTTCATTTTGAATAGTTACTAACATTTCATAAATTCTCACCTATTGAGATAAAATCTTACAGCAAAGTGGAAAATTCGAAACTAGATCTAAACCTCATATTTGTTGAACTTTTCCTGACATCTTTGCTTATTTGCAGCAATATATACCGATATATTCCTGGGTTTGTATTCAGAGATTGCGTGATGCAATCTACGGTGCTGTATCGTACCTAAGTGCTATCAACTACATTAAAAATCATATTGAAGAAAGCAATTGAGACCTCTGGTTACTGGCCAGATTAAAATTACTGTAAACCTTAATTACTTCAATGAAGTTATCATATCCATGTGCAGTTTATGCTTTTTTTTTCAAAAAAGATTTTATTTTTATTTCTCATATACATATTCACATGTACAGTCATTATCCACCATTTTCCATTCATCTTATCTTTTAACTTTCAATTTTTGCTTATTCGGGGCTGCTCTTTTACCATTTACCCTTCTTTATTTTGCTACAACTTTTCTTCTTCTCCTCCCCTTCTCTTCCTTCCTCTCTCTCCTCCTACTTTCTTTGTTCTTCCTCTCCTTCTCTTTCCTACTTCCCCTTCCCTTCCCCCATTCCTCTCTTCTTCCCCCTTTGTAACCTTCTCTCCTCATGTGCTATGACCACAGTGGCCAATCTTATAGAGACTATAGCCCTTTCTTTTGCTATGATTGTTCATCAACACACTGACAAGAAGTCTGGCTAAACAAAGTAGCTGCAATAAACAAATAAGGTAGAAAACAAAACTTCAGTTCCATTTTCTCCAAATGTTTCCAAAAGGATGTAAACCCCAAATGCGCTAGAAACGCCCATGTTCCATGAACGAGGGAGAAGAAATGCCACATAGCACACACAAATTATCTATAACTCAAATGCCAACCTTACATTTCATATTCCATGCAAGTTCCAATTCCAATGGTATACTCAGCCCCACCCCACCCCAGAATGAGCTGAGTATACCAATAAGGGAATCAGCTAATTTAATAGTTCATTTTTGCCTGTGCTGTGGGGCAAAATAACCTGAATATGCCTTTCCTACAGTGGCGGCATTGTTCTTTATGAATGTTATTGTATCTACCAATATTGCTCTGATTGTTCTTAACACTCCTATTGCCTTCTTTCAACTTGTTCTCTCATTGCTAAACCCAAGAGAACAGTAATTAAACACCATATTTGAAGCAAGAACAAGTACCAAATGTAAGGACAGCTAGCAAATGCATAGAAGAGCATATTTTCTGCTATCATTCTCTTACATTCTGCCCAAAATCCAAGTTCATTTTTGTGTTTGTATTGCTGCTAGATAGCAATGTTGTTAATTTGGAGAGGGGGGGAGGGGGGGAAGGGGTTCAGCCATATCTTGCTATTTTCAACTGATCTCAAAAGCAAAGCAGCAATATATGGGCAGAAGTCCAGCAAGAAGAATCCGTTCAAAGAACACAGAGAATTCTAAAATAACTCTTTGGTTCATCTAGAGACTGGATCCATACTTCTGCCTTTTTCCTTGTAATCAAAAATGAGCAATCTTCCCACATGAGCAACTTTGGACAATTAATGAAGATTACTTTCACTCTTCTTGCACATCATCAATTAATTTTCTCTTGAAATTAGCCATTCTCAGAGATATTTAATTTTTCCCGGATTCAAGAGAGAGTATTCTGTTTCAGGAGAAAAACATGATCTTTTCTCAAGTGAGTGCATTCATTAATTCTCAATGTTATATCACAGGCATTACTGGACTGATTAAGGTTTCCCAATCTCATTCCCACACAAAGCATATTTTTTAATATTAGAAAGCCGTTGTTAAGATTGTAGTTTTATTCCATCATTTCCATCCAACTATTCATATGCAGACACTGAAATAAATATCAGTAACCCCATTAAACCACTATTAGAGCACTTATCTGACCAGCTTTTATTTGTTTTTATGATTAAGAGACAGGGGCGGGGGAAGACTCACTAAAATAACTCATATACTGTAGCAAGTCAATTCAATCAGAGGAATTACATGAAGTACCAAGAGCAACAATTGGAGGATACCTGGACAATTCAGCAACAAGTCGCAAGCAGACTTAGCCCAACATTCCTGGAGTAATATTGATGAACTGCAGCTTCTCATATTTCTGATGGAAAATGTCTATGTTAGCAAAATTACAATGGCTATTAAAACCATATTTCATCCTTAGAAGCATAGGCAGAGGCTTTTTTTAAAAACAAAACAAAACATAGTAAGCAAAACCTGGCAGTTATGATCATGTTGCCGCCCTGCCGGTGAAAGGGGGACAGTTGGAAGGACAGAATCTAGGATTTCAAAGAAAGTCAGACATATGATACAGGACCAGTGGGGCTAAGAAATCAGCGGTGACAGTGTGAATTTCTTGTAAGTTGGTCTTGCATGGTTTACAAGTATCCCTTGTTTAACTACAGTATAGTAATTGGGACAGGCAATTCCATTGCTAAGAGATATGGTCGTAAAGCGCAACATCAGGGAACCCATCCAAGTTGTGGGGAGTTCCAGGGAACTCACTCCATTGTTAAGTGAATCCCACACAGTTGTTTCTATGATTAGCATTATTTAGTTTAGAAAACTAGCATATATTCACACGAAGCCTTAATAATTAATGTTTATATAGTCTATGTTAATCCTAAATATGCTGTCTTTGTTCAGACCACTAGTGTCTTGCTAGGTCAGATCCATATCCACCTAATTTAGTCAGAATTGGTCACCCACCTGAATTTGACCATTAGTGCACCTTATTTGCAGGCTTTTATAGAACTGAATTCCTCAGCTTGTGAGAATTTTGAGACCTGTAGATTCTTATCAGTATTAACCAACCCTCCCATTTTTTATAACTGTTCCTACCCTCCCCAGTTTTTGCTAATCCTTATCTCCATTAATTGCCTGCCATTATGGCCAAGTACAAGTTATATCTCATATTGATAGTTACATAAGCATACTTTAGTTTCACAGTACCTGTCATGACTCAGAAATCAGATGATGGCACTCAATGTGAAGCTGTTCCAGCAAGACCATAGAATGGTAACCTCAGGAGACACAAAGATAAGCATCACCTGAGGCTGATTAAAGACAAGCACCATGTGAGCAGCTGGAGAAGTCTAATGATGATGAGGTAAGGCCTCCCAGCCCTTGCACCTGGTGAGTAGATAGCAGAGCAGAGACTTCTATGAGGCTCCTTGCCAAGCAAAGGAGTAGATCTCTTGATTAGAGACAAGGTTGGCTGAGGTTGATTTAAAAGGCAGCCCCGAGCCATGATCCCTCATTAGTAACAACTGTCTGATCTCTCGCTCTGATTCTATTTTGACCTCTGGACTTGCTAATAACCGTGATCTAGAGCAGGGCTGTCAAACTCCTGGCCCACAGGCCAGTTGCACCCACACCTGGTTTAGCAAAGGTGGGGGGAAGTCCTGATACATCACGTGATGCTGCCATGACGATGTGAGTTTGACACCCCTGATCTAGATCTTGGAACTCTTGAATTAGATTTGGACTGTTCTTCTATGTGTTCCTGTTAAGGAAAATCCATTCAGGCAAGTTTCAGAGACACAGTTTTAGTTTGCACTCTTTACTGCTATCTTTTGGCTTTCAGTATATTGCTAATTTCCATAGCAGCTATGTGAATGAGTGTATAATTGGAACCACAAGCAGGAGAGTACCATGTAGACCTGTCGGACTCCTATTTTCTTCCCTAAGGACAATGATTGCCTGTCTCCCATCCTCAAATATTGGAATACAATTCCAGTCAACCACATCAAGCAACAATATCTAAATGGCAAGGTTGTGAACCATTTGCCCAGATGATTCTTCCAGCACTCCTCTAGGAAGTCTTATTTTGAATCTTGGGATAATTTTATTCCTGCTACTTCCTGTACATTTAGGTTTGCTTTTTGCTACAAAAGTTTTTTTTTTTTTTTTTGTGCCACTCATGGCTGCCTCCAGAGAATTAATGAAGATGTTATTGACCCTGGAACTTAACCATTAACCTGTTTTCCCTGCATCAATAATCATGTGACTTTGATTTGCTTTGGAGAAACTCCTGAAACCACTTGCAAAAATCTTTACCTGAAAACTGATGTTCAGAACATGCTGCATCTGGAGGAGATAGTCCAAGACAAGCTGATCAAATTCTACAAGCAAAGCCCACCTTAGGTACACTCCAAATGCCACAATCAAGTTCTGGTTATTTGGTTATACATTACATTAATCCAGTTTATGCTGAGCCACTTATTCTATCATTACAGAAAAATAAAGGCTGTCAAATTTTCTTTCAAGACTTATTCTCAGTAATCTCCTTGTGCTAGTTTTGGCATAGAGTATTGCTGTCCTTTTAATTTCATTTGGTTTCTCCCTTCTCCATGGTTTTGGTAGGTTTAGTATCTTAGATTGGCAGTATTGCCCAAGGATCTATTGTATCCGTAGCTTGGAAATTAATTCTAGGTTAGACTTTATATTTAATTCCTAATTGGCTCTCACTGAAAACAAAGCACTGCTTGTTGAAAAATAATGGTTCCCTGAATAAAACTTCAAAGCCATCACTGTATGTAACAGAATACTTGGCACCCAACATACACTTAATGATTGAGGCCAACTTCAAGTGTATCTAGAAGCATAAATGGGGAAAATGAAAAACACGTCATTTGGGCAGAGATCAAAATATAAAATGAATAATATGGGTGCAGTTCATTTTAATATTTTCAAATTGATTAATGTATAGACTAGAAGAAAAAGATCCATATATATTGGGCATAGAATCCTCCATATAGTAGGCTACTGAAAACTTTGGGCCATTTAATACATTACACTTTTAAGCATTAAAAAAAAAATGTTTTCCTTGTTCAAAGCAAAAGTTGTGAATGGAACAAGTAATGCCACCATGAAATAATTAGTAAGGTGCAATTAGCCCAAATATTTTTTGTTTATTGTAAGAGTACTGTAATTGGAAGTGTATACAAATAGAGCCTAATAGGATAACCCAACTCTATCATGTAATGTGTGAAATAAGTATTTCACTATCTACAAAAATTTTAACATGTTTAACGTACGCTGTGCTTGAAAACCATCAGTAAATTGTAGTTGGTGCACATGAAAGTGCCAGAACTCCTGTTTGGGCTGTAGTCACTATTCAAAATAATAAAGCTGTTTCGGGCACAATAAAGGTCATTACCAGACCATTTTGACACATTTTTCCTAAAAGCTTGAAATAATTTTTAGTTGCATTTTGAACATTTTTTTTTTCCATTACACTTTGAGTCAGCATCTGCTGCTTATTTTCATGGTTCTTGATCTTTGAAAGAAAAGTGTAGACCAGAGCTGAAAGACGTGGACCCGGGGTCAAAGGGTACCATGATCCCTGACTGATCTGAATGACAACAAATAGATAGGGTTCCTGAGCACTGGCTTGTATAAGAAAGGAGCAGAGTGGGTGGGGAAATGATGAAATAGTTATATTATGATGCACAGTCTTCCCCTTTTGTGCATGCATCCCAACATTTTCATTGTCCACAAAGACATAATGGGTAGAATTTATGTTGGGATATCACAATACATGTTTTATCATTCTGATGAAATCTCAGCTTGTTGTGCACCTCACTGCTCCACTTGAGAACTTTCCTGAAATTCCACAGTCCTATCATATTCTGCTCTTAGGAATTCCTTGTTCCATGGAGGAAGAAAAGAGGAATGCTATCTCCATCTTTGTAGAAATATGTGCAGGCAGGCAATGATGTTTGCTTCTTCTGTGTATAGAATTGCTCTTGGTGTGGAGGAATAAGTGAAGATTGCTTCCCACCTCCTTTTGCATTTAAAGGGATTAGAGTTAGTGGGATTATATGTATTTGAGTTTCATCTTCAGGACCTGGCTTTCTAAAGAGCAGTCAGGGTTGATCTCCTCTAGGACTGACCGGTTTGATCGCCTTGCAGTCCAAGTGACTCACAGGAGTCTCCTCCAGCACCATAGTTCAAAGGCCTCAATTCTTTGGCGCTCAGCCTTCCTTATGGTCCAACTTTCACAGCCATACATTGCAACTGGGAAAACCATAGCCTTGACTATATGCACTTTTGTTGGCAGATGATGAAGCTAGAGATATATGAAGTTAGAGATGAGCAAATCTTTGCAAGGAGCAAATTTGATTCACGACCTCACAGTAGACCAGTGTTTAGCCACCTAGGTGTTTCAGATGTACTGGGACTATTAGGACTACAGGAATTCCCAGACAGCATGGCTAATAGTCATGTTGGTTAGGAATTCTACAGATTAAAGTACCAATACCAGTACCTTCTTTACATTCATGAATTCATGGCAGCATTACATATTCATCCTTCCTCTTGTTTTCCCCCACAACCACCCTGTAAGTAAGCTTGCGCTGACAGATAGTGATCGGCCCAAAGTCACATCCTGCTCAGTGGTGGGTTCCTCCCAGTTTGGTCCGGTTCGGCCGAGCCGGTAGCGGTGACGATATGATGTCACCGAACCGGTTCTCCCCCCCCGCCCCCCACCCACGTTATTCTTACCTTTTATTTGGCCCCACCCGCAATCTATTGCTGCCTCCTGAGTCCCAGCTGATGACTAGAGGGAAAAAAACTGTTTAAACGCTTGCCGCGGGGCTTCAAAGGACCATCCTACAGCTGATCAGTGTTAAAAGCAAACAAATGAGTCAGGTCATAAGTGCGAGGACTGGTACTAAGTGTGAGGACCTTCCAGAAATGACTGATCAGCTAGCCATGCCCACCTAGTCACATGACCTCCAAGCCACACCCACAAAATAAGCCACGCCCACAGAACCGGTAGTAAAAAAAATTAGAACCCACCCCTGATCCTGTTCCTAGTCTTTAACCATCACATCATTTTGGCTATGTAGTCCAATTAGTGTGGAAATGACCAAGCAGGAAAAGAGTGTCTTAAAATATTTAGACTAATCATTTTTTTCAGTTCTTAGTACAGCTTGCACCATAAGACAGCAATAAAACTTGCGATAATATAAAGAAAATTCAAATATAGTTGTGAATCACCCACACCTATTTCAGGGTAGCTATATCTGGGAACATAACCTTTTGCTCTGAGAAAGCTGACATTGCTGGCAATCATTCT